AGGGGTTCTACCTCTATTCCTGCGCTCTCTGTCCCTTCCCTTTGCCTGGGAAGGGAATTCCGAGCCGCGGGCCAGCTGATGCACGCTGTGCTCCGCGGCTCTGACACTTCCCCAGCTGGACGGCTAGAAGATAGCCGCCATCGCCGTCGCCTCGTACCGGAAGCTTCCCTTCTTGAGGATGTATAACCAACTTCATTGCAACAAGAAAAAAAGATATTTAGCCCAGAGTGCCAACTTTGGGGTAGCGCGGTGGCTCAGCAGTTAAGAAGCTAGGCTTGTCAGTTGGCAGCCCAAGTTCAAGACCCAAGCGCCATGTGACAGGGTGAGCTCCCGTCCTCACCTCAGCTCCTGCCAGCCTAGCAATTTGAAAACATGCAAATACAAGTAGATAAATAGGTACCACTACAGTAGGACGGTAACTCCATGACGCCATGTTGTCTACATGATCGTGGAAATGTCTTCGGACAGGGCACGGAATGGGACAACTCGCCGCAGCCAACTTGCTGCGGTCAAGTCACCATGGTGAACTCACCATGGACAACTTGCCGCAGGAGAACCCGCTGCTGACAACTCGTCGTGAGTCAATTCAACAATTCAATTTAATTATTTATAATAATTAAACATTATTTTAATTTTTGTCATTCAGCTTTCATTTTGTCCCTCCTTTGGCATCCTTTCTTTAATGATCCTATTTCACTATTTTTTCAATATCAACTTATCCCGTGGTGAGTTGGCCATGGTGAGTTGTCCTAGACCAGGGATGGAGAACCTTTTAGAGGCCAAGTGCCCCAAAACCGCCCCTGCCCCATCCCATCTGCTCTGCCCTCGCACCGCCCACAGCCTGCCCCCCCGCAAGGCCACTCACCACCTCCATGGCTCACCGCAGATTGCTCATGCAGCCCAGCAATGTCATGACGGCCATGCCCTCCACCTGCACCTGGCAGCATCAACTGCGCAACGGGGCGCTAGGGCGGAGTCCTGTCCCCGCTGCCCAGCTGCCATGTCCTTGGCTGCACTGCTCTGCGCGGGCTGTGCTTGGAGGCGACTCTCCTCCAGGGGGGCTGCTGGTGAGGAGCTGGCCACGGGTGGAGGCGGGGCTGGGATGATGGCATGAGTGCCCATAGAAAGGGTTCTGAGTGCCGCCTCTGGCACGTGCGCCATAGGTTTCCACCACTGTCCTAGACCCACCAGGGCATGAATGACCAAGTGATGAGCTTCCCATCCAACTGCATTGCATTTGCAGATTCTCTGGCACCAGAGCTGGAGCAGATCTTTGCTTGAAACCCAGACACCTTTCTCTAATCTGGATGCCTTCCAGATGTGCATGAATTTTGACTCTCATTTCCCTCTGATATTTGGGGAAAGGTAGTCTGGAGCCAATGATTTGGCTCGCCAAAAGGCAAAAGTACGTCTTCAGGGTTCTGCATTAAAGGACGGATATATCGAGGCAAGCATGGAAGATATTTGGAAGAAAAATCACACACACAAGCTGAAAGTCTCTCTAGTGTATTACACAAGATGAGGTGAAGATAGCAATAAAATAAAATAGCACTCCTGCCAAAATATACATTTCCAAACATCCTCCCATTCCTTTCACTCTGTCAAGATTCAGATGATGCAATTGAACTTGGGTTAAAAAAAATCAGAACCAATCACAAATGTGTGCTTAAGTATCAGTCTGCAAGACATAAGAAAGGAAATGTACAGATAGTCCTTACAACAGTTCGTTTGGTGACCATTCAAAGTTACAACAGCAGTGGAAAAAGTGACTTATGACCGGTTTTCGCACTAATGACCATTCCAGCATCCCTGTGATCATGTGATTAAAATTTGGAGGATTGGCAACTGGTTCATATTTATGACAGTTGCAATGTCCCGGGGTCATGTGATCACCTGTAGCAACCTTCTGATAAGCAAAGTCACTAGGGAAGCTGGATTCACTTAACAACTGTGTTACTAACTTAACAGCTGCTGTGATCCACTTAACAACTTTGGCAAGAAAAGTAAAAAAAAATGGGGTAAAATTCACTTAACAATTGTCTTGCTTAGTAACCCAAAAAATTGGGCTCAATTGTGGTCATACGTCAAGGACCACATGTATTAGAGGATTAGTTAGCATCTAATGTTCTCTGCTGATGGGAGAGATGAAGAAAAATAGTAAAAAATACAAATTTTTATTCTTTCAAATGCTTTCCGGTAGCATTTTTTTCTCAATTGGCCAAGCTTTAGACCACTGCTCCTATAAACCAAAATAACTTATACACATAGGTTCACAAATGAAACATCCAGCAATGGTTCTAATTCAATGTAATCTGTTTACATGATAACTATCCAAAAATATTATTTTGCATGTGTAACAAATCCCCGTGTTAAATCCTTGTGGAATTTTTGATATAACTTTTTCTCCCTTGGGCTCAATATTTTCGGAGAGACATAGCTTTATTCCTTGCTCTAAACCAGTGCTTCTCAATTATTTTCTGTCATGCCCCCCTAGGAAGAAGAAAACATTTCGCGCCCCCCCCGCGCGACTGTAAAAAATTTTTTTCTGTACAGAGGACCGATTTCCGGGTCTAAAAGTCACACGGGCGGGTTTGGCCAATCAGGATAGAGCATCATGTCTATCCAATCGGGTCCTTTGCATGTGTCACGTGCGTTGGCGGTCATGTTGTCCTCCGCGTCGGGCTGCCGCTTGCAAGTGAGTCGGATGATCCGATCTAGAAATCCAATATGACAGTATTTGCCGAGGTCAAACGAGCCCCCCTTTACGGAGCCTCGCGCCCCCCCGGGGGGGCGCGCCCCACTATTTGAGAAGCACTGCTCTAAACAGAGCACTGGAGCGGACACTCTACACCAGTGGTTCTCAACCTGTGAGTCGGGACCCCATTTGGGGTCGAACGACCATTTCACGGGGGTCGCCAAACAACGCAGTCCACCATTTTTTCCCCCTTTTCCTTAGCTGTGCTACTCCCTTTTATTCTATTGGCTTTTGAAAGCCAATAGAATAGACTCTCTTGAATAGAGTCTAATTCTATTGGCTTTCAAAAGCCAATAGGAATTGTCCAGGCTATCTCTGCCCTGCTGAACCTGCCAAAAGTCCCATTCTGCAAACGGTGCTGTACCAGTTGAGTAGTCCTCGACTTACGACCAGCTGGGGGTCGCGGCATTAAAAAGGTTGAGAACCACTGCTCTACACATTGTTTCTCAAACTTGGCAAGTTTAAGGTGAGTGGACTTCAACTCCCAGAATTCCACAGCCAGTAATGCTGGCTGAGGAATTCTGGGAATTGAAGTCTACAAATCTTAAAATTGTCAAGTTCGAGAGACACTACCCAGAAAAATCTCTTCTAATTTTGTGGAGCTATATAACAACAACAACAACAAAGTTGGAAGGGACCTTGGAGGTCATCTAGTCCAACTCCCTGCTCAGGGAGGAAACCCTATACCATTTCAGACAAATGTGTCCAGTCTCTTCTTAAAATCTTCCAGTGTTGGAGCATTCACAGTTTCTGGAGGCAGGTTGTTCCACTGATTAATTGTTCTAACTGTCAGGAAAATTCTCTTTATTTCTAGGTTGCTTCTCTCTTTGGTAAGTTTCCATCCTTTGCTTCTTGTCCTGCCTTCAGATGCTTTGGAGAACAGGTTGACTCCCTCTTTTTTGTGGCAGCCCCTGAGATATTGGAACACTGCTTTCATGTCACTCCTTATCATTCTCTTCATTAAACTAGACAAACCCAATTCCAGCAGTCGTTCCTTATATATTTTAGCTTCCAGTCCACTAATCATCTTTGTTGCTTTTCTCTGTACTCTTTCTAGAGTCTCAACATCTTTTTTACATTGTGATTATCAAAACTGGATGCAGTATTCCAAGTGTGGCATTACCAAAGCATTGTAAAGTGGTATTAACACTTCACGTGATCTTGATTCTATCCCTCTCTTAATGCAGCCTAGCACTGTGTTGGCTTTTTTGGCAGCTGCAGCACACTGCTGGCTCATATTTAAGTGATTGTCCACTAGGACTCCAAGATCCTCTCACAGTTGCTACAATTGAGCAAGGTACTCAAGGCATACTATACCTGTGCATTTGGTTTTTCTTGCCTAAATGTAGAACCTTACTTTTTTCACTGTTGAATTTCATTGTGTTAGCTAGCGCCCAATGTTCAAGTCTGTCAAGATCCTTCTGTATCTTAAACCTATCTTCTAGAGTGTTGGTTATTCCTGCCAACTTGATGTCATCTGCAAATTTGATGAGTTCCCCATCTATTCTCTCATCCAAATTGTTGATGAAGATGTTGAAGAGCCCTGGGGCCAGAACAGAGCCCTTAATTTAACTATTAAGGCAAGACAAAATGTTAATTAACACAGAACAAGGCACACTGTAGGGTGCTTGTCTTGAAGTATGTAGCTGTGAGTATGCTAATAGATCACAGAGACCTCTATCTATAGATAGTCCTCAACTTACTGAATCTGGAATTAAAGTCATAAGTCATGGCAGTTGTTAAGTAGGTCACACCAGATTTTACATTTTTTTTCTGGCAGTTATTAAGTGAATGTCATGGTCCTTAAGTGAACACAGTAGTCATTAATTAAATCTGTTTTATCCAATGGGCATTCCTTGCAGAAAACCGGAAGTAAATGCTGCAAAAACTGCTGAAAACTGTGATCATGTGACCATGGGATGCTATAAACTACCAAAAATGCAAGCTGGTTGCCAAAGGTCCAAATGTGACCATGTGATACACATTCTCTCTCTCTCTCTCTCTCTCTCTCTCTCTCTCTCTCTCTCTCTCTCTCTCTCTTTCTCTTTCTGTGTGTATGCATGCATAGCTATCTAATTCTGGAATCAAGTCATAAGAACCTTTGGGGGGGGCACTGTAATTTCAAATGGTCGCTAAGCAACTGGTCATTAAGCAAGGGCTACTTGTATGTATGGTAGCTTACAATCAGAGAAGAACCCCAAATCCCTGGATTAGATGGTAAGCTAAATGAAAGGTCGAGACTCACCCAGGGGCTGCTTTGTGAGCAGCTTCCACTGCATTGTGGATGTCTTTCACATTCCCATCGGCCACACAGGCCATTGCTTTGCCTGCGTGATCAAGGATGGTTCGGGAACTCAAGGAATCTGGCCTCTTCTGAGCACCACCGTAGTACAGCTTGTAGGTTCGGTCCACACTGGGAGGGAGGGAGGGAGAGAGGGAGGGAGGGAGGAAGGAAGGAAAAATCATAATAGAGCTTTGCCTCTTGAATCCATTTCAAAAGAAAGGCAACAAACTCTGGGTGCATGGATTTTACAGATAAGTTGAGACTTCCCAAGGACGAGATTCTCTAGAATGGAGTTAAGCTGCAAAGTGGTTTGGTAAGTGAAAATGTCTGGATATTAGACATAGTCCTTCTATTAAGTTTAGTTCTTTATACTCAAAGGCTACAAAAATCCCCTATTTCTTCAAGACTGAGATACCAACGATGGCTATGAATCCTAGTTATTTAATGAGAAAAGAAAGGCTGTCTACCTGTGCTGAAATGCACTGTATCGTTGCTGGGCATGAGAGAATCAGCCCTCTTATTGATCATAGGGATGGTTCACATTCATACTGTACTCACTCCAAGGTTCAAATCCCTGCTCTTACTTATTGATCTGGGCCCCGTTATTGTTTTTAGAGTTTAGCTAAAGGTAGGGGAACTCTGTACATTGAACTTTGGAAGAAGGATTAGGTGTTGGGCAATGAATCAGAATAGATACTCAGATTTAAATGCTGGTGAACCTTTGATCCTAACCACTTTTCAAAAACTCATTAATAAGCTGCACTCCAGAACTAGGCAATGCTCCATCATAAAACAAAACTTAATGGTAAAGATCCTTTCCTGTTTTTTCTTAAGCCTCGTTGTAAATTTCCATTCTTGCTGAAAAGTGAATTAGGATACATATCCCAGCTCTTGACACTGGTTGTAAAGCTTCAGCAATTCTGGATAAAGTGCTATAGATCATCTTTTCCCAATAAAAGTGTAGCCTAGAAATAAAGGGGGGCTGACATCTTTATTGTAGAGTTTAAGGTGTTAGACTAGAAGCCAGGAGACTGTGAGTTTTAGTCCCACATTTGACATGAAGGCTGACTGGGTGACTTTGGACCAGTCACCAGGGAACTGTGAGTTCTAGTCCTCCCAGAGGCATGTACTTCTTCTCTCAGCCCAATCTACCTACCAAGGTTGTTGCTGTGGGAAAATAAAAGGCAGGAGCCCGATGCATACCACCTTGAGCTGTATAAAAAAACCAGGCAAAATACAATAATAATAATAATAATAATAATAATAATAATAATAATATGCAAATACTGCAATAGCAAGTATAAGCACCAATTCATTGCAAGAAACAAACCAATTAATGTACAGCACAGCTGCAGTTATAACAGAATACCTGGGATGTAAAATCAACAAAAAAGAAAAACAAACAAACAGTGCACCACAAAAATGGAAGGTTAGACTAGAAAATAAGATCAGCAAGTTAAGATCACATGCAAGCAAGCTAGAACAGATGAAAGAAAAGAAGCTGAAGAACAAGAAGACCAAAGAATACCTAATCAAGAAATACCACTTAGAAACAAGGAAGATCAAGGAAGCACTGGAAATAATAAAGCAACAAATAACAGCTATAGCCAGGAAAATCAGTAGATATGAAGCTCGAATTGCAAACTATAGGCAGAACCTCCAATTTCAATCCAATCAGAAACGTTTCTACCAATCCATCAATGGAGAAACTGCAAGGAATCAGTCAGTACCTGACAAGGAAGAAACAGTGCAATTCTGGAAGCAGATATGGGATAACCCAAAGAAATACAACAAGGATGCGGCTTGGTTAAAAGAGGTGGATGCAAATAAAACAGAAGTTGAAATGAAAGAACTAGTAATAACAACAAAAATGGTAGAAAAAAGAGCAAAGAAAATCAAAAATTGGTCAGCACCAGGTGAAGATGAACTGCATGGGTTTTGGTTGAAACATCTAACTGTTATACACCCACTCATTGCCAAGCAATTCAACAATATATTACAAGGAGGAGAAATTGAAAAGTGGCTAACAACTGGGAAAACCTACCTAATAATGAAAAATCCAGCAAAAGGGGCAACACCAGGTAACTACAGGCCAATTACCTGCTTACCAACAACTTTCAAATTACTAACTGGTGTGGTAGCTGATGCAGTACAACAGCATCTAGTTGAAAACAATCTCTTTCCACCTGAGCAGAAAGGAAACCGCCCCAATAGCAGAGGAACAAAAGATCAACTCCTAATAGACAAAATGATCTTGGAAAACTGCAAGAGAAGGAAGACCAACCTGAATGTGGCATGGATTGACTACAAAAAGGCATTTGACTCTCTGCCACATGATTGGATAATCAAGTGCCTAGAAATAACAGGAGTCAGTAGAAACATCAGAAAATTTGTGCAAAGATCGATGGCACAATGGAAGACACAGTTGCAGATCAATGGTGAAAAGCTGGGAGAGGTTAATATCAAGAGAGGAATATTTCAAGGAGATTCATTATCACCATTACTATTTGTTATTGCACTGTTTCCTCTGTCAACAATACTGAATAACTCAGGACATGGTTATCAAACATCAAAAACATCTGCTAGACTATCCCATCTCCTTTACATGGATGATCTGAAGCTGTATGGAAAAACGCCATCTGAAATAGAATCGCTGCTCAACACTGTCCGTATATATAGCCAAGATATTGTAATGGAGTTTGGCTTGGACAAATGTGCCACACTTACTATCAAACAAGGAAAAATAGTGAAAACTGAAGGAATCAAGATGCCCCACGAAAATAACATTAAGAGTCTGGATGAGGAAGAGTACTACAAATACTTGGGTATCCTTCAAGCTGACAACATCAAGCACACTGAAGTCAAGAAAAAGATTAGAGGTGAATACATCAAGAGAGTGAAGAAGATCTTAAAATCCAAACTCAATGGAGGAAATACCATAAAGGCAATCAACACCTGGGCAATCCCAGTCATTAGGTACACAGCTGGAATAGTGGACTGGACTCAAGCAGAACTAAAAGCAATGGATAGGCAGACCAGAAAAATAATGACAATGAATCATGCCCTTCATCCACGCAGTGACATTGATAGACTTTATCTACCAAGGCAAATAGGTGGGCGTGGAATGCTACAAGTACATCAGATGGTTGAAGAAGAAAAAATGGCTTTGGAAGAATATCTGAAGAACAATGATGAAGATGCACTGAAATTAGTATATCAGGAAGGCTTACTAACTACTGGAGAGACCAAACTGGCCTACAAGAAAGACCAAATGAAGAACAAATAGAGGCATGGGAAGACAAAGCACTACATGGCCAATACATTAAAAAAATAGCTGGGAAAGCAGATAATAATAAAACCTGGCAATGGCTAAGAGCAGGAAAATTGAAGAAAGAAACCGAAGGATTAATTCTGGCTGCACAAGACCAAGCTTTAAGGACAAATGCATACAAAGTCAAAATTGAGAAGACAGCAACAGACAGTAAGTGCCGCCTATGCAAAGAAGCTGAAGAAACAGTGGACCACTTGGTAAGCTGTTGCAAGAAGATTGCACAGACTGATTACAAGCAGCGGCATGACAAAGTAGCAACAATGGTGCATTGGAAGATCTGCAAAAAATATCATTTGCCTGTAAGCAAAAACTGGTGGGATCATAAAATAGAGAAAGTCATAGAAAATGATAAAATTAAACTGCTCTGGGACTTCAGAATTCAAACAGACAAGCACCTGCAACATAACACCCCAGACTTAACAATTGTCGATAAGAAAGACAAAAAAGTCTGGATAGTGGACGTGGCAGTGCCTGGAGACAGCAGAATAGAAGAGAAAGAACTGGAGAAGATAACAAAATACAAAGACCTACAAATAGAAATAGAAAGACTGTGGCAAAAGCAAGCAAGGGTAGTACCAATAGTCATAGGCTCCTTGGGTGCAATCCCAAAACAACTGGAGCACCACTTGAACACCATTGGCATTGACAAATTTGCTATTAGTCAATTGCAAAAGGCGGCCTTATTAGGAACTGCTTCCATCCTGCGACGATACCTGTAATACCATCAAACATCTACATCTGCCTATCCCAGGTCCTGGGTAAGGACTCGATAGGTAGACAAAATGCCAAATCCAGTCTGAACATCTGGCTGACTGTGCGATGATTGATAATAATAATAATAATATGCATGGAAAAACATCATCTGAAATAGAATCGCTGCTCAACACTGTCCGTATATATAGCCAAGATATTGTAATGGAGTTTGGCTTGGACAAATGTGCCACACTTACTATCAAACAGGAAAAGTAGTGAAAACTGAAGGAATCAAGATGCCCCACGAAAATAACATTAAGAGTCTGGATGAGGAAGAGTACTACAAATACTTGGGTATCCTTCAAGCTGACAACATCAAGCACACTGAAGTCAAGAAAAAGATTAGAGGTGAATACATCAAGAGAGTGAAGAAGATCTTAAAATCCAAACTCAATGGAGGAAATACCATAAAGGCAATCAACACCTGGGCAATCCCAGTCATTAGGTACACAGCTGGAATAGTGGACTGGACTCAAGCAGAACTAAAAGCAATGGATAGGCAGACCAGAAAAATAATGACAATGAATCATGCCCTTCATCCACGCAGTGACATTGATAGACTTTATCTACCAAGGCAAATAGGTGGGCGTGGAATGCTACAAGTACATCAGATGGTTGAAGAAGAAAAAATGGCTTTGGAAGAATATCTGAAGAACAATGATGAAGATGCACTGAAATTAGTATATCAGGAAGGCTTACTGACTACTGGAGAGACCAAACTGGCCTACAAGAAAGACCAAATGAAGAACAGAATAGAGGCATGGGAAGACAAAGCACTACATGGCCAATACATTAAAAAAATAGCTGGGAAAGCAGATAATAACAAGACCTGGCAATGGCTAAGAGCAGGAAAATTGAAGAAAGAGACCGAGGGACTAATTCTGGCTGCACAAGACCAAGCCTTAAGGACAAATGCATATAAAGTCAAAATTGAGAAGACAGCAACAGACAGTAAGTGCCGCCTATGCAAAGAAGCTGAAGAAACAGTGGACCACCTGGTAAGCTGTTGCAAGAAGATTGCACAGACTGACTACAAGCAGCGGCATGACAAAGTAGCAACAATGGTGCATTGGAAGATCTGCAAAAAATATCATTTGCCTGTAAGCAAAAACTGGTGGGATCATAAAATAGAGAAAGTCATAGAAAATGATAAAATTAAACTGCTCTGGGACTTCAGAATTCAAACAGACAAGCACCTGCAACATAACACCCCAGACTTAACAATTGTCGATAAGAAAGACAAAAAAGTCTGGATAGTGGACGTGGCAGTGCCTGGAGACAGCAGAATAGACGAGAAAGAACTGGAGAAGATAACAAAATACAAAGACCTACAAATAGAAATAGAAAGACTGTGGCAAAAGCAAGCAAGGGTAGTACCAATAGTCATAGGCTCCTTGGGTGCAATCCCAAAACAACTGGAGCACCACTTGAACACCATTGGCATTGACAAACTCGCTATTAGTCAATTGCAAAAGGCGGCCTTACTAGGAACTGCTTCCATCCTGCGACGATATCTGTAATACCATCAAACATCCATATCTGCCTATCCCAGGTCCTGGGTAAGGACTCGATAGGTAGACAAAATGCCAAATCCAGGCTGAACATTTGGCTGACTGTGCGATGATCCATAATAATAATAATATATTATAATAATAATTATATACTAATAATTATATAGAAAGACTGTGGCAAAGGCAAGCAAGGGTAGTACCAATAGTAATAGGCACCTTGAGTGCAATCCCAAAACAACTGGAGCACCACTTGAACAGCATTGGCATTGACAAATTCACCATTAGTCAATTGCAAAAGGCAGCCTTACTAGTATCTGCTTCTACTGTAATACCATCAAACATCCACATCTGCCTATCCCAGGTCCTTGGTAAAGACTCGATAGGTAGACAAAAATGCCAAATCCAGTCTGAACATCTGGCTGACTGTGCGATGATCAAGCATCATCATCATCTTTATTGTCACTTTAAATGTACACCAATTGGCATACATTAAAATGAAATTTCATGGCACACAGCTCTCAAAGGGTCACCATCTCCGATATACACTCGTTAGTGGCCAGCTCAAGTTTCAGATCGTCCATTTTTGTTTTTGTTGACTATGTTTTCATCAAGATTATTTTAGCTCTTGTATCAAAGGAAATCATTTTTATGACTACCAAATTATCTTGTAATGCTTTGATGATGATTAATAAAAAAAACTAATCCCATAGTGAATTATCCTGCGGTGAGTTGTTACACAGGGCAGTTCCTGAACACTCCTGTCAAAAGCCTTGCATTATGGGGAATGCTAAAAGGGTGGTAAACTCATGAGCACATGTGCTAATTTGGTGTTTGCATATTATGGATCATCGCACAGTCAGTCAAATGTTCAGACTGGATTTGGCATTTTTGTCTACCTATCGAGTCTTTACCAAGGACCTGGGATAGGCAGATGTGGATGTTTGATGGTATTACAGTAGAAGCAGTTACTAGTAAGGCCGCCTTTCCCAGCTATTTTTTTAATGTATTGGCCATGTAGTGCTTTGTCTTCCCATGCCTCTATTCTGTTCTTCATTTGGTCTTTCTTGTAGGCCAGTTTGGTCTCTCAGTAGTCAATAAGCCTTCCTGATATACTAATTTCAGTGCATCTTCATCATTGTTCTTCAGATATTCTTCCAAAGCCATTTTTTCTTCTTCAACCATCTGATATACTTGTAGCATTCCACGCCCACCTATCTGCCTTGGTAGATAAAGTCTGTCAATGTCACTGCGTGGATGAAGGGCATGATTCATTGTCATTATTTTTTTTGGTCTTCCTATCCATTGCTTTTAGTTCTGCTTGAGTCCAGTCCACTATTCAGCTGTGTACCAAATGACTGGAATTGCCCAGGTGTTGATTGCCTTTATGGTATTTCCTCCATTGAGTTTGGACTTTAAGATCTTCTTCACTCTCTTGATGTATTCACCTCTAATCTTTTTCTTGACTTCAGTGTGCTTGATGTTGTCAGCTTGAAGGATACCCAAGTATTTGTAGTAATCTTCCTCATCCAGACTCTTAATGTTATTTTCGTGGGGCATCTTGATTCCTTCAGTTTTCACTACTTTTCCTTGTTTGATAGTAAGTGTGGCACATTTGTCCAAGCCAAACTCCATTACAATATCTTGGCTATATATACGGACAGTGTTGAGCAGCGATTCTATTTCAGATGATGTTTTTCCATACAGCTTCAGATCATCCATGTAAAGGAGATGGGATAGTCTGGTAGATGTTTTTGATGTTTGATAGCCATGTCCTGAGTTATTCAGTATTGTTGACAGAGGAAACAGTGCAATAACAAATAGTAATGGTGACAATGAATCTCCTTGAAATATTCCTCTCTTGATATTAACCTCTCCCAGTCTCTCACCATTGATCTGCAACTGTGTCTTCCATTGTGCCATCGATCTTTGCACAAATTTTCTGATGTTTCTACTGACTCCTGTTATTTCTAGGCACTTGATTATCCAGTCATGTGGCAGAGAGTCAAATGCCTTTTTATAGTCAATCCATGCCACATGCAGGTTGGTCTTCCTTTTCTTGCAGTTTTCCAAGATCATTTTGTCTATTAGGAGTTGATCTTTTGTTCCTCTGCTATTGGGGCGGTTTCCTTTCTGGTCAGGTGGAAAGAGATTATTTTCAACTAGATGCTGTTGTACTGCATCAGCTACCACACCAGTTAGTAATTTGAAAGTTGTTGGTAAGCAGGTAATTGGCCTGTAGTTGCCTGGTGTTGCCCCTTTTGCTGGATTTTTCATTATTAGGTAGGTTTTCCCAGTTGTTAGCCACTTTTCAATTTCTCCTCCTTGTAGTATATTGTTGAACTGCTTGGCAATGAGTGGGTGTATAACAGTTAGATGTTTCAACCAAAACCCATGCAGTTCATCTTCACCTGGTGCTGACCAATTTTTGATTTTCTTTGCTCTTTTTTCTACCATTTTTGTTGTTATTACTAGTTCTTTCATTTCAACTTCTGTTTTATTTGCATCCACCTCTTTTAACCAAGCCGCATCCTTGTTGTATTTCTTTGGGTTATCCCATATCTGCTTCCAGAACTGCACTGTTTCTTCCTTGTCAGGTACTGACTGATTCATTGCAGTTTCTCCATTGATGGATTGGTAGAAACGTTTCTGATTGGATTGAAATTGGAGGTTCTGCCTATAGTTTGCAATTGCAATCCGAGCTTCATATCTACTAATTTTCCTGGCTATAGCTGTTATTTGTTGCTTTATTATTTCCAGTGCTTCCTTGATCTTCCTTGTTTCTAAGTGGTATTTCTTGATTAGGTATTCTTTGGTCTTCTTGTTCTTCAGCTTCTTTTCTTTCATCTGTTCTTGCTTGCATGTGATCTTAGCTTGCTGATCTTATTTTCTAGTCTAACCTTCCATTTTTCTGGTGCACTGTTTGTTTGTTTTTCTTCTTTGTTGATTTTGCATCCCAGGTATTCAGTTATAACTGCAGCTGTGCTGTACATTAGTTGGTTTGTTTCTTGCAGTGAATTGGTGCTTATACTGCAGTATTTGCATCTTTTAATGCTTGTGCTAGCTGTTTCTTTGGAACAAACTTCAATGCAGGCAGCCTTATTCTGTTGTTTTTGTGCTGTTCTAGATCCTCAGTTATTCTTTGTTTAAATTCTTTTATTTCTTTAGTTAGAGGGTTTTGTTCTTCCTGAGGAAGTGGTGCCTGGTTTCCAAATGAGAACAGTTGTATATCTCTGCTGGCTTCTTTCACTGCCAAGTCCCCCTGGTTTGCCTCTTTATTCTGAATTACTTCTGGTAAGGCTTTGATTTCTTTGCCCTGGGTAAATCTTTGCAGTTCGTCCAATTCTGTTTCTGTGAATACTTTATTTCGTATTATAAATCGGCGTTGATCTGCTAGTCTCTGTTCTGTTATTTCTGATTCTGGATGTTGTTCTTTCCAGAACTGGTGCATTCGTTTTAGATATCCTCTTCTTGTTGGACTTGATCTGTAGTAACAGATCATTATTTCTTTGTTTTCAATCATTGTGTATCTGTGACGGATAAACACCTTTTCTTCCAGTAGTTCTACAGCTGCTGGCCCTGGTTGCTCAGCCAACAGTCCTGAGTCCTGTAACCCATTTTTCACCAGATATCCAGGAACTCCAATATCTAGCGCGGACCTTGTTAACCCGGGCGACATCCGAGCCAGTATGGCATTCTGAAATTTACATCTCACCGTATTTTTTATGGGAGAGACACTCTTTGTCTGACTCCTCTAATGAGACCTGTCCAGTATGGTTGAACCTCTGGCATAGCTCTCATCTTCCTCAGAGTACACAAGCCCCACAACCACGTCAAGGTAGTGCCTCACTGGGGGATGATGATGATGATTATAGGAACTATGTAAATGCCACGGTAAGTTGTCCCATTCTGCTCTGAGCTACTATAGCTATGTAACGTCATCACATCTGATTCTCTCTTTTTTTAAAAAAAAAAATCCTTGCTACAAAGTATGTGAAGTTGTTTTCTGAGAAAATCAGGTACTTTCATACTTATTCTTACCTTGGAATGCCTCCTTTCAGTTCAGAAACTAGAGAGCAGGGAGTCTTGTCCCCAGGAATCACTGGGAGATCACTCTCTGGTGAGGTAGCCAAGTTTTTGTAATTCAGATCCATACTACAAATGCGTGGTTGAATTTCCCAGATTGGTCTCACATATTCATAAAGTGCCTGGACAGAAAGAATTCAGAATTAAACTTGGAGATGTGCTGGGATGCCTCCCGCCAACCAGTTACTTCCTCACTAACCTCTTTGCCTCCGTTCCGTCCATGGCCACTTTCCTTGTACCCTCCAAAGGCAGCTGCGGCATCTAACATATTGTGGCTGTTGATCCAGACTGTTCCAACCTGCAAACTAAGAATATAGAAGGCAAAAAAAGGTGTGAAATATCGAGTATTGTGACACAAAATGTGAAACGCTTTTGCTCTTTCTGTATTCTTGGGAGACACTTGTGGACACATACCCAAATTCCTTGAAGGTGTAAGAACCTGCACGGTAGAACAAACTGGACTGCTTCAGCTTATAAGAGCATGTGTAGATGAAATCTGCCTTTTTATAAAACATGCCATACAAGTAAAAATGAATAAAATTAGCCCAGTTGGGAATATTCTGATTTGGAACATTTTGATGTGATACTTTCAGGAACTGAAATAGGAGGACACATTCAGAAACATCATGATGGTGATTGATTCTCCCATCTCAGCATTCAGTCACCTGATCCTACAAAGGGTCACATTTAAGAAAAGTTAGGGCAGGGGTAGGCAACCTTGGCTCTTTTATGACTCGTGGACTTCAACTCCCAGAATTCCTGAGCGAGCATGGCTCAGCATGGAAACCTCTTCCTTTCCCCTCAGCATGCCTGGCTCAGGAATTCTGGGAATTGAAGTCCACGAGTCATAAAAGAGCCAAGGTTGCCTATCCCTGGGTTAGGATATTGGCAATTTTCTGTAGAATCACAGCTGCTTCCCTGGGATGAACATTTCTGGTCTTACTGGATACTGAAGCTCTTGTATTACAGGTAGTCCTGGACTTACAACCACAACTGAGCCCAAAATTTCTGTTGTTAAGTCAGACCTTTGTTAAGTGAGTTTTGTCCCATTTTATGACCTTTCTTGCCACAGTTGTCAAGGGAATCAACTGCAGTTAGTAAGTTGTTAAGTAAATATGGCTTCCCTATAGACTTTGCTTGTCAAAAGTTTGTGTAAAAGTGATCGGATTATCCTGGGACACAGCAATAGTCACAAGCATGAACCAATTGCGAAACATTTGAATTTTGATCCCATGTTCATGAGGATGCTGCAAAGGTTAACTGTGAAAAATGATCATAAGTCACTCTTTTCAATGCTATTGTAATGTTGAACGTTCTCTAAATGAACTGCTGTAAGTCGAGGACTACTTGTATAGGGGGAAAACAATGACTTAGATTTCTGTGATTGGGAACTGAGTGATAGAATTCAGATGGAGCAGGGATCCAGAAGAGAGATCAGGACACCTTAACGAAGATCAGGCTGCACTTATAGTGATACCTGTGGGCAACTTCGAGTGCTAAGGAGAGAATTTCGGTCCACACACTAGCAGCCAGTCCATGAGGTGTACTGTTCCCCAAAGTCATCGCTTCCTTGGTTGTCCGGAAAGTCAGGGATACCAGAACAGGTCCAAAGATCTGGAAAAGAAAATGCTTTGGATCATGAGAATACATTACCTCATAAACTCTGCCAAGGAGGCAAAGTTTGGCCGAGAACAGCAGAAGCTGCTGCATGATAGACACAGCAAATTAGTATGAATAGTTCAATTTAAACATTTTGTGTAGGATGAAAAGCGTCACTTCCTTCAAATTTTTAGGCTGAGAAGGAGCAACCTGGAGCCTCAAGGCCACAAAGCTAACCTGGAAGACTCCAGAGTCCCTTCATCACAATAACCAAAATCTGGTGGTATGGAAAATACAGGGAATGTAGACAAAGGTGTAGTATACAGGTAGTCCTCAACTTACAACAGTTCATTTAGTGATTGTTCGAAGTTACAACGGCACTGAAAAAAGTGACTTATGGCCATTTTTCATACTTAATAACCACTGCAGCATCCCCATGGTCACGTGATCAAAATTCAGATTCTTGGCAGCTGACTCAGGTTTATAAATGTTTGCTGTGTCCCAGGGTCATATGATCCCCTTTTATGACTTTCTGAAAAGCAAGGTCAATGGGAAAGCCAGATTCGCTTAACAACAGTGTTACTAACGTAACAACTGCAGTGATTCATTTAACAACTGTGCCAAGAAAGGTCATAAAATAGGCAAAACTCACTTAACAACTGTCGAGGACTGCCTACACATTTATTATAAAGGTGGTCTTCGATTTAAAACTTCAGTGGAGCTGTCATGATAGTTATACATTTTGCAACCGCTTCAGTCGTAAAACAAATGCTGCAGTCATCCAATGAAGTAATGTTTCGTTATAGCTCTGGTTTTGCTGGAAAATGACCGTAATTGCCGGTTTTTGGCAAAACCACCATAAAACATGGTGCCCAATCCTGGGATACTATAAACAGCAATAAATACAGCATGGTTGCTGAGTACCTGAAGTTTGGTCACATGACTGTGGAAGGGGGCAACTGTTGGGATTTTAAATCCAGGTTGCAAGTAGCCCCCATGTTGGCCTGTATAACTTCAAACAATTCAGTCGTAAGTCAAGAACTACCTGTTGCTACAAAATGAAGAAACAAAGCTAAATGTCCATCTCTTATACCCAAAAAAGGCAGTGAGTGGGGACACAAGGCCCTTCTCCATGTATATGATAATTGGTATCATCACTCACTGCATCCTTATTATATAAAGCCACTTTCCCATTAGGTAGTGCACCTAAGTATCTTCTTTATATTAGATACAAATGTGTTAAACTTTTCTAATGTAAGGTTTACTGTGGGTTTCCTCCCCCTTTATTTAATTCACCTTGCTGGATTAAAAGTCCTGGACAAGGTCAAGCTCTTTCTCTCTTTCAATCACAATTTGGTGTCACGAGAGGGCCCCCTGTTAGTTCATCATGGCATAGCTTCCTTTGACAGATGCCAAGGGTGGAAGAGAGTAACAACTGTTATGAACCTACAACTGTGCAAAGGTTCAGGAGGGATGCTTTGCACACTGCAGTAAGCAAAGCATCCTCCCTTAATGCTTTAAAAAATAGCCACATCCTCTGAAAGGTGAGGAGTGACTAGAGGCAGGTCTCAACTTACGACCAGAATTAAGCCCAAAATTTTTGTTGCTAAGTGAAACATTTGTTAAATAAATTTTGCCCCATTTTACGACCTTTCTTGCCACAGAAGATAAATGAATCACTGCAGTTGTGAAGTTAGCAACATGGTTGTTAAGTAAATCTGGCTTCCCCATTGACTTTGCTTGGCAGAAGGTCGCAAAAGGGGATCACATGATCCCTGATCCCCTAATGAAACCGTCATATATATAAGTCAGTTATCAAGCCTCTGAATTTAATAATAATAATAATGCAGGCCAATTACCTGCTTACCAACAACTTTCAAACTGCTAACTGGTGTGATAGCTGATGCAGTACAACAGCATCTAGTTGAAAACAATCTCACCGGAGCAGAAAGGAAACCGCAGAAAGGAAACCAATAACAGAGGAACAAAAGATCAATCCTAAGAGACAAAATGATCTTGGAAAACTGCAAGAAAAGGAAGACCAACCTGAATGTGGCATGGATTGACTACAAAAAGGCATTTGACTCTCTGCCACATACTGGATAATCAAGTGCCTAGAAATAACAGGAGTCAGTAGAAACATCAGAAAATTTGTGCAAAGATCGATGGCACAATGGAAGACACAGTTGCAGGTCAATGGTGACAGACTGGGAGAGGTTAATATCAAGAGAGGAATATTTCAAGGAGATTCATTGTCACCTTTACTATTTGTTATTGCACTGTTTCCTCTGTCAATACTGAATAACTCAGGACATGGCTATCAAACATCAAAAACATCTGCCAGACTATCCCACCTCCTTTACGTGGATGATCTGAAGCTGTACGGAAAAGCAGAACTAAAAGCAATGGATAGGAAGACCAGAAAAATAATGACAATGAATCATGACCTTCATCCATGCAGTGACATTGACAGACTTTATCTACCAAGGCAGATAGGTGGGCGTGGAATGCTGCAAGTACATCAGATGGTTGAAGAAGAAAAAATGGCTTTGGAAGAATATCCGTAGGACAGTGATGAAGATACACTGAAATTAGTATATCAGGAAGGTTTACTGACTACTGGAGAGGCCAAACTGGCCTACAAGAAAGACCAAATGAAGAACAGAATAGAGGCATGGGAAGATAAACCACTATATAGCTAGTACATTAAAAAAAATAGCTGGGAAAGCAGATAATAACAAGACCTGGAAATGGCTAAGAGCAGGAAAATTGAAGAAAGAGACCAAGGGACTAATTCTGGCTGCACAAGACCAAGCCTTAAGGACAAATGCATATAAAGTCAAAATTGAGAAGACAGCAACAGACAGTAAGTGCCGCCTATGCAAAGAAGCTGAAGAAACAGTGGACCATCTGGTAAGCTGCTGCAAGAAGATCGCACAGATTGACTACAAGCAGCGGCATGACAAAGTAGCAACAATGGTGCATTGGAAGATCTGCAAGAAATATCATTTGCCTGTAAGCAAGAACTGGTGGGATCATAAAATACAGAAAGTCATAGAAAATGATAAAATTAAACTGCTCTGGGACTTCAGAATTCAAACAGACAAGCACCTGCCACGTAACACCTCGGACTTAACAACTGTTGATAAGAAAGACAAAAAAGTGTGGATAGTAGATGTGGCAATGCCTGGAGACAGCAGAATAGACGAGAAAGAACTGAAGAAGATAACAAAATACAAAGACCTACAAATAGAAAGACTGTGGCAAAAGCAAGCAAGGGTAGTACCAATAGTAATAGACACCTTGGGTGCAATCCCAAAACAACTGGAGCACCACTTGAATACCATTGGCATTGACAAATTTGCCATTAGTCAATTGCAAAAGATGGCCTTACTAGGAACCGCCTCCATCCTGCGACAATATCTGTAATATCATCAAACATCCATATCTGCCTATCCCAGGTCCTTGGTAAGGACTCGATAGGTAAACAAAATGCCAAATCCAGTCTGAACATCTGGCTGACTCTGCGATGATCAATAATAACAGTAATAGTAATAATAACAATAATAATTTGTTGGAAGGAACCTTGGAGATCATCTAGTCCAACCCCCTGCTCAGGCAGGAAACCCTATACCATTTCGGACAAATGACTGTTCAGTCTCTTCTTAAAAACTTCCAGGGTTGGAGCATTCACAGCTTCTGGAGGCAGGTTGTTCCACTGATTAATTGTTCTAACTGTCAGGAAGTTTCTCCTTAGTTCTAGGTTGCTTCTCTCTCTGGTTAGTTTCTTGTACTGCCTTCAGGCGCTTTGGAGAATAGCTTGACTCTTTCTTTGTGGCAACACCTGAGATATTGGAACACTGCCATCACGTCCCCCCTCGTCCTTTTCTTCATTAAACTAGACATACTCAATTCCAGCAACCATTCCTTGATATGTTTTAGCCTTCAGTCCCCTAATCATCTTTGTTGCTCTTTTTAGAGTCTCAACATTTATTTTACATAGTAGTGACCAAAACTGGATGCAGTATTCCATGTATGGCCTTACTAAGCCATTGTAAAGTGTTATTAACACTTCACGTGATCTTGATTCTATCCCTGTTAATGCAGCCTAGCATTGTGTTGGCTTTTTTGGCAGCTGCAGCACACTGCTGGCTCATATTTAAGTGATTGTCCACTAGGACTCCGAGATCCCTCTCACAGGTACTACTATTGAGCAAGGTACCACTTACACTATATCTGTGCATTTGGTTTTTCTTGTCTAAATGTAGAACCTTACTTTTTTCACCGTTGAATTTCATTTTGTTAGATAGCGCCCAATGTTCACGTCTGTCAAGATCATTCTGTATTTTAAGCCTATCTTCTGGAGTGTTGGCTATTCCTGCTAGCTTGGTATTGAATGTGGGCCAAGAACAGAGCCCTGGGGCACCCCGCTATACACTTCATGTAAAAACACTTCCATTGAGAACCACACACTGAGTATGTCTGATCAGCCAGCTACAAATCCATCTGATGGTGATGCTGTCTAACCCACATTTTTCTTTATCAAATGCCTTACTGAAGTCCAAATAAATTATACCCACCGCATTCCTTTGGTCCACTAATTTTGTCACTTGGTCAAAAATGTAATAAGATTTGTCTGTTTTTGACAAAAATGTTGGGTTTTGGTAATGGCTTTGTTTGCCTCTAGCAGGTGTTTGCTGACCCGTTGTTTGATTAACTTTTCCAGAATCTTCCCAGGTATTGAGGTCAGGCTGATGGGTCTGTAGTTTCCTGGATTCAATTTTTTTCCCTTTTTTGAAGATGGGAACTATATCAGTTCTTTTCCAATCCTCTGGTAGTTCCCCAGTGCTCCAGGATCTTTGAAAGATTTTTTCGTTAATGTTAGTTAATTTTTTAGTTTAATTTTGATCACATGACTACGGGGATGCTGCAATGGTCGTAAATGTGAAAAACGGTCATGTCACGGTGCCGCTGTAACTTTGAACTTTTTACTATTGTAAGTTGAGGACTACCTTTATTTCAGAGCTTTTCCCCAATTGTCTATCTGTGTACGTCTATCAGTTATCAGCAAAACAAAAATGCCTGCACATGTATGTGGGAAAGTTTGGGAACGAGTACATGGGATCTTTTGTTGGAGGATGGGGCTGCTTTAACATTTTGAGGAAGGGTATTTATTGGCATTCCTTCCTAATACTTTATACAGCCATAATAATTGGAAAACTTCAAACCTAGCATAGCACTAATCTTTTTTCAGCCTTCTATCTGCAAACCTAAATGTTGCTACTTTAAGACATCTATTTATTAAACTTAATATGACTTTTAAAACAGCCATATCCTTTCTCAGGCAGGCACAGAAATCTGTAAGAGGGAACCTTAAGGAACAGGAGAACTTTTGCATGAGGTCTGAAGCGTTTTCAAAGCCCCACTTTTGACCCCCTACCACAGCTTTCTTCAACCTGTCAGACTTCAGAAGCTTACAGAAGTTACAATCCAAAAGTACATACAGGGGGAAGAGAGGAGACAAAGAGAGGCAGAAAAAAAGAGAAGAGAAGGTAGGATATTGTTAATGTTGCCCATGTTTTAAATGGTCACAGGCTAAGTTCAGAATGGCGGCCTCATCTGCCAAGGTGCCTTCCACCAGAATTTCCAATTCAACATGGTATCAGGGTCAGTGGGTATTAAAACAATTAAATTAACACTTAAAGCAAGAGAGATCTAACATGTCTGAATACAGCAGGTGAGAAGAGAAAGATGGATTAAAACTAGTTTAAAAGAGATCTAGCATATGGCCAGACATGGTTATCTGAAGAGGGAACAGTTCCTAGCATTGGCTCAGTGCTGTTTCTTTCTTTCTTTCTTTCTTTCTTTCTTTCTTTCTTTCTTTCTTTCTTTCTTTCTTTCTTTCTTTCTTTCTTTCTTTCTTTCTTTCTTTCTTTCTTTCTTTCTTTCTTTCTTTCTTTCTTTTTCTTTCTTCTTTCTTTCTCCTTCCTTCCTTCCTTCCTTCTCCGTCCAGCTGTCTGTCTGACCTTTATTATTTTTATCACAAGAACAACCCTGTGAGGTGGACTGGGCTAAGAGAAAGTGACTGGCCCAAAGTCACCCAGCTGGCTTTCATGCCCAAGACAGGATTAGAACTGACAATCTCCCGGTTTCTGGCCTAGAGCCTTAACTACTGGACCCAACTGGCTCTCTTATTCCATTTATTACCAGCATTAATTTCTAGTGATTAAATCAGATATCAGAAATGCTTTCTCATCGCCTCCTACCTCTTCCCGGACGCAACGGGAGGTCGGATACACGTCGGTGATTAAGGTTGGAGGGTAAAACAATTGACTTGATGGGAGGGATGCCCAGGCCTGGAAAACCTAAAAAACAATAATTACTTTTGAATTATGTTGACAGTCATCGGTCACAGAATTCCTAATCTGGATTCCTATACAGACCAGGGGGTTGGGTTCAGTACCTATGTGGTCCCTTTCTCTGCTATGCTTCTAGTTCAGGGTTGAACTCTGGGATTCTTGTGCTCCCTCTGAGCTTGGTTGTTTTCTTGCAGACGTTTCATTATCCAACTAGTGCAATGATGATGTTACCTAGTTGGGTAATAAAATGCCTACAAGAAAACAACGAAGCTCAGAAAGCACCAAGCACTTCTCAAACAAATTAAACACTTTAAAAATTAGTGGGGTTAAAAAAACCACACACACAAAGTTACGAACAAAAAGAACCTTGAAAATAGACCCCATTAAACACTACATTCAGGTTGTGGAGGATAGGAACTAGCTGGATCTACTGTAAGTAACATAACTACTCCAAATGCAGTAATCTTCCCCATCCTTTCCTGGCTAACAGAGAAAGGGAAACATCCTGCAACAATCTTGTTTGAAGGATGCCAGGATAGAGAAGATGATCCTAATCAATAAGAAATAATTATTCTTTATTTAAAATATTTTTTTTAGAGAAATCATTATTCTTGATCAACTCTGGAATCAAACAAATAAAGCCCAGCTCTTTCTAGAAATGTCTACTGAAATATTTCCTCCCTTTCAAGCTGAAATCTTCAGTCTTACATTTTCCTTCCTTCCTTCCTTCCTTCCTTCCTTCCTTCCTTCCTTCCTTCCTTCCTTCCTTTCCTTCCTTCCTTCCTTCCTTCCTTCCTTCCTTCCTTCCTTCCTTCCTTCCTTCCTTCCTGCCAGTACCTTAACAACTGGCAAAGAAACAAAAGGCCATGATTTTCACAAATCACAACAGATGTTTCACAGACATGTTTTACAATGTTTTTACACAACCGTAGGCTTATTTCTATTTACATCTTTATGAGCAATGCGGTTTGGCTCTGGATAAATTCCATATCTAATACCATTTACAGTAATGGACCCATTTTTTTAAAGACATTACCTATTAACTATGTGTGAGATGACTTTTCCATCAAATACACATTAATAAATTTATTTCCTAAAGGTATTTTTATAAAAAGCTGGTTTTCCTGAAGCCGATTTAAATGCTATTCAACTGAAATATTAAAAAATGTGAATTAAGTACTTTTAATAATTTAAATAATCAATAATTTTAATGATTAAATATTAAAATGTAAAAATCAATTGTGCGGGGGTAGGGGTTGGCCATAAGACCGAACTGTCTGGCATGACTTCTTCCCATTTACCTCAGCCCCCTCAGCCCGAGCTTCTTCCACCAGACTCTCAATAAAATTTCGCTGTTTCTCGCTGGCCAACGGTCCCACGTCTGTGATTTTGTCCAGAGAATCTCCTAAGTGAAGCTGCCCCATTCGGTGCTTCAGGCGTTGAATAAAGTCTTTGGCAATAGATTCCTGAAGAAAAAGCTGAGCCCCAGCATTGTGGACCTGAGAAGGGGAAGGAAAAGCCACCCATAGGGTTAATTAATTCAACCCTTGGCTGCAGGATTTTGCAGCCAAGATTCTGCCAGAGTAAGAATAAAACTCACTGCCTGATTCATTAAAAAATGTTTAACTTAGAATGTGTGGATAACAATTACTAAAATAATATGATTCCCACATTGATTCTTTCCCATTTTGGAAACGTTTGGAATTTGCTTAGCTTTGGTGTGTTGTATTGGATGAATACTGCAGTTTATTTTTAAAATTGGTGTGTTCTTTCTTGATCTTTTAATTATACGTCTAGTCCCTATCTATTTTTAGGAACTAATTAACATAACATTAAATAAACGTCTTAAACAGTGTGAGCATAAAAAAATAAACACAACTGTGATTGGCTAAATAGGTGCAACTGAATGGGGTAGCTGATGTGCACATCCAAAGTTTTATATATGTGTGCCAAAATTTTCAGAAAATTCTGGACAAAGATTTATTATATCATAAAGTTAAAATCTCATACTCTGCCAAAGAAGAAATATGAAGAATGGAGTTTTTTTTAATATTTCCCTCTATTGCAGTGGTTGGATGAGCAACCAGCAGCCTGAAAAAGAGGGAAATGTTAAGAAACAACCATTCCCCAAGTCTCTTCTTCATCCGATACTATTTTTGGTAAAAGCATACCTGTCCTCGGTTCAACCAGATGGCATCCATCACTGCATCAACAGCACTATCCAAGTCAGCTGAGTCAAAGACAATGAAGGGCAACTTCCCCCCAAATTGGAGACAAAGCTTCTTGCCACTGCCAGCTGTGGCTTGACGTAGACAACGGCCCACCTGTACCAACGAAACATTCCCCATCACACCACCGAATCATATTCAAAATGACCACTGACCATCCCTCCCACACTAGCGCAAAGTCCCATTCCCCATATCAAATTCTTGTGCTAGTTGGAACAAGGGAGAATGGATATGTAACTGATTTTGGAGTAAGTAGGAGACTGAAGGTCTTGCACTATACCAGGGATAGGCAACCTTGGCTCTTTTATGACTCGTGGACTGGCTCAGGAATTCTGAGAGTTGAAGTCCACGAGTCATAAAAGAGCCAAGGTTGCCTACCCCTGGACTAGACAATTCAAACCAGATAGGAGAAAAGTCAGAATTTGTGTACCATCGCTACACAAAATCCAGTGGGCGAATCCCCTCATATCTTCTTTTGTGAATTTAACAGAAATACAGGAAATCAGGAAAGCAAAGACAGCTTAGCCTTATATAGTGAAAAATGCATCTATACAAAACCTTTTGTCTATCTTGTTACTCAGCCTTCCTTAACCTGAGCATTTTCTGGTAAATGAACTTCAAGTCCCAGATTACTCTAGCCAACATAAGCACCTCACTACTGAAAATGTAGGGAGTTGAAGCCCATATATAATTGGAGGCCGTCCAAAATGGAGAAAACCACCAATATAAATAAGTGTCCCAAGAAGGCTCCACACCCACTTGCACTACTGAGGTGACCCTAAGGACGAACAAACAAAGCTCCAAGTGGTCTCAACAACTCTCCAAAAGAAAGCAAATGACCGGCTGTCTGCAAGGAGTTTAAATCCTTCCTATTGCCCACCATCCGGTTAGAGCTGAAGAAGCTTCTTGGATGAGATGTGAAACGTCTTCAAAGAAAAAACAAGAAAGTTCAGTTGCCCCCTGAAAAAGCACCTTTGGGCTTAACCTATATACCAAATATGTACCCTCAAGACTGGCAAAAAAAAACCCTGATTTTCCTTCTGAGCCTCTTCCTAAGCGCCTGAATGGAGACAGATGGGCTTTACCTTGGCAGTTCCAGCAAAGGCCACTTTGCCAATGCCTGGGTCGAGTGCCAAGGCTTCTCCCAGCTCCTGATTGCCAGTGATGACATTGAAGACTCCTGGGGGGAGCCCAGCTTGGGCACAGACTTCGGCCAAGAACAGGGCAGCCAGCCCGGTATTGCTGGCTGGCTTTAAGATCGCCGTGTTTCCTGTTGGCAAAGCACGCAGTAGAGAGTTAGGGATGGAAAAGAAGAGAAAAGGCAGGTAAAAAAGCTAGAGAAATATATATTCCCTATATTCTTCTCTCCTATTTGATATGCAGTGGCCTCCAAATACATTGGACTGCAATTCCTATTGCAGGAAGGCTTTGACTTACAACAGTTCATTTGGTGACCGTTCAATGTTACAACATCACTGTAAGAAATGACATGACCAGTTTTCACACTTATGACTGTTGCAGCATCCCCATGGTCAGGGATAGGCAACCTTGGCTCTTTTATGACTTGTGGACTTCAACTCCCAGAATTCCTGAGCCAGCATGGCTGGCTCAGGAACTCTGGGAGTTGAAGTCCACAAGCCATAAAAGAGTCAAGGTTGCCTACCCCTGACCATGGTCATATCATCAAAATTCAGACAGTTGGCAACCCACTCATGTTTATGATGGTCACAGTGTCTCAGAGTCATGTGATTCCCTTTTGAGACCTTCTGAAAACCAGATTCACTTAGTAACCATGTTACTAACTTAAAAACTACAATTCACTTGGGAAAACTGAAGAACGTTAGGCGGGGAAAGGCTGAAGAAGACAAACGGGGAGTCAACGAGTTCCATTTTTTTCATGACAGAAGACAGAAATTGTGAGGTGCCGGATTTAGACTTGGTAAGGCCCTAAGCTATCTAGGCTTCTTCTTAAAATATTACACCAGAAGGTCTCACAAAAAAAGGACTTTGGGTTTTCACAAAAAAATTGAATCTGTAGCTTGTTCAGCTTGTGATTATATCTGGTACTGGGTCAGCAGAATCAAGACAAGAAAGTATTTGTAAATAAGGACAATTTGAAAAAGACAATTGAGGCAGGCAAAACATGGAACCAGACTCCTTTTTTCCATCTCAAAGTTCAGTCTTGGGTAGGTGGCCAATGAACTGAAAGGGAAGATGGAAGAAAGTTCCTTGTCTCTTAATATCCCATGAAGAGCATTCTTATCCAGGTGTCACCTAGCTGAGAAGACTGGTATTAGCCATGTATATCAGGTATGATAAGCCGGGGACAGATGAATAACAAATTAAAAAAAAGATTTTATGAGTTTTTATATCTACACCTGAGATCCCCAACTTTTTGGGTACCAGGGACCAGTTCTGTGGAGAGAGGTTTTTCTGTGGACCGGAGGGTACATGGTTTTGTGTGCTGCCTGCATCCCACAGATGGGGTTTTGCTTGTTTGTGCGGACCAGTTTCTGGCATGCCGCAGCTCGGGGTTGGTGACCCCTGACCTACACAATATATACTATTCAAAGTACCCAGTTTATAATTCCAGTTTGTTGGTGATGATGTCTGAGTCAACATTCAGTGTAAGAAGCCCATGCAATTTTCTTGGCAATATGTTCAGACATAGTTTGTCACTGCCTTCTTCTCAAGTCTGAGAAAGAGTGACTGACGTAAAGTCATCCAGCTGCTTTTGTGTCCAAGGCAAGATTTGATCTCACAATGTTCTGGTTTTTTGCCTGATGCCTTTAACCTCTACATCTAATTGACTCTCAACTCCAGATTACAGTATTTCCTTGAAAAGCACAGCAGGGAGGCAAGATATGTTCTAGGTCCCCTCTCTTAAAGAGGTCCATCTAGTGGGACCAAGAAGAATGGCCTTCTCCTTGGTGGCTCCCTCCCTGTGGAACATCATCCCTTTGGAGATAGGATTGGCCCTCACCTTGAGACCCTTTTAAAAGGCCCTGAAGACATGGTTTTGCAGTGGACCTGGAGTCCCCAAGGCAGTACGAAGCCCATCCGGTGGTTTGTTTGACTGTTGTCATGGGGAGGGGGGGAAGAGTTCATTGGGTTTTGTATCTGGGATTGTATTTCTGTAACCCATTGTGAGGGAGTTGGGCAGCCATATAAATTTTCTCAATAAAAATAATAAAAACAGATATATTTTAACTACACTGTTAACCCAACTTTCTTCCGAAGAACCAATGACAGGGCTCTAGTTTCTCTTTCTCTGTATAATTTTACTCTCAGATTAACCTCATGAGATAAAGAAAACAGATCAACTCAGTGACTTCTGCGTCTGGGTGGATCTCAAGACTCACTTTGACTCACTCAGTTGGAACCATTTTTACATACCCATGGCCAGGGCTGAGCACAACTTCCACGTCAGCGTCAGCAAAGGAAAGCTTCGAGGAGTAAGAATAGCAACTATACCTAGAGAGAGACAAGTTTCATCAGAAATTGAGTGTTTCCATGGTTGCATTCAGTATCTGCAGCAATCCTCTTTAGGGGGGCTCCAAATGTGCCAAATTTCTCTGTTCTGCACTTTGGGATCTGTACAGGAAGGCTGCAATCCAAGATCAAAACTTTCTAGAGGTGTTATTTCTTACAGAGGAACTCCATACAGTCCCCAGCAAGCAAGTGCTTTAATATGGTGATGATTCCTAGCTGAACCTACATTATTATAGCATACTGTGGTTTGTAGAATGCAAATCTTGTTGAACAGGGAACTTCTTTATTGAAATTTTAAAAGTTTTCAATTATTTATTACATACGTTTATACAGTATAACTAGTCATGAGACTCAATTTGTAACAATATCATACAATAAAGTTATGTAATATTCATCCTTCCTATCTTCCTTACAAAGACCATCATCCACTTAACCCAAAGCATATCATCCATGTTCAAAGGCAAAAAGATCAGTCAAATGTACCAGAAAAGTGTTGCAGCCTTTACAGCACAAAAAATAAAGAATAAAAACAATACAAAAAGCAAATGTAATTAAACAAAGCGGTTTACTGCTAGACATTACACATACTTTGCCTGTGACCCCAAATCTAATCACTAAGGATTAATGTGTGTGTGCGTTTGTGTGTGTGTTGCATGACTCCATTAGCCTTTAATCACATGAAAAGAGTTATTAATATTCCTAGGCAATTCCATTACAATGAATAGGCATACCCAAATAAATTACTATGTTTAACTATTTTCTCCTCTTTTTCCTTTGCTGAAGAATTTCAAGGACATTTCTCTATTTTTTTACTGAAAAAACTGAAGATAAAATTACTGATGATGAAGGATTAGTCTACGAAGCTGCCAGAATCAACCACAATTTTGGGAAGTACTCATCCTGCTAGAAAGTATGGGACAGCCCAAAGACTGGAGACTAAGATAAGGTTGCCCATTTCTCCCGACCCAATAGCAATATCTAAGTAACCTTCATTTAGTGTTGCCAACTTCTCCCTCACACACCAGAAAAGCAAAAGGAATAGTTAGATGAAAAAAAAAAAGCCTCTTTCTCTACAGCAGTGGTTCTCAACCTTTTTAATGCCGCGACTCCCAACCGGTCGTAAGTCGAGGACTACTCAACCGGTCGTAAGTCGAGGACTACTCAACTGGTGCAGCACCATTTGCAGAATTGGACTTTTGGCGGGCTCAGCAGGGCAGAAACAGCCTGGACAATTCCTATTGGCTTTTGAAAGCCAATAGAATTAGATTCTATTCAAGCCAATAGAATAAAAGGGAGTAGCACAGCTAAGGAAAAGGGGGGGAAAAAATGGCGGACTGCGTTGTTTGGCGACCCCCGTGAAATGGTTGTTCGACCCCAAATGGGTTGAGAACCACTGCTCTACAGACATTTTATATACCATCCAGTCCTTAATTTCAGAAGCGTTGCAATCCTTATAAGCAAGCCCCTCCTTTCTTTGGCCACTGCTGCATTGTCATGCATGACAAGGGCATACCGCATTGTCAAACTCAAGTCATTTCAAGCTCCCAATGTGCCCTGTTCCTGATATGATTTTTTTGGTGGTATTTCAAGTGTCAACAGCTCATTACAAGCTTCAGGCACTTTCAGGAGATCAAAGCATCTTGCTGTGAACTCGTAACAAACAACTACATGGAACATAAAAGAGAGCGTTTCAATCATTTCACACTCCTCTAGGGCAGGGGTCTCCAACCTGGCGATTTTAAGACTTGTGGATTTCAACTCCCAGAATTCCCCAATCAGATCCCTGGCTTGGTGGACCGTGCTTAGAAGTGGCCGGATAAACTTTATGCTAGGAAAACTTGAATAAGTAGGAGCCTGGGTCCTTTTTCCGAGCTAAGATTCCAGTCTTTCCAGCTTACCAAGTGGTTGCCAGTTGGACATCTGTTCCTCCATCAGCTGGGCCCACCCTGCATAGTGGTAGAAATGCCGGACAACCAAAGGGAGATCTGCTTCTTGGCTTTCCCGGATCAGGTTTCCACTGTCAAGACTCTCCAGGAGGCTGAGCAGCCGCTGATGTTTCTGGATGGTCCTGGCGACACTGTGGGAAGAAGCAACTTCAGAGAAAGCACAGCTGGACTGAACGACTGCAGATGGCACTTCCAGCTGAGAGGAGTACGCTATATAGTACATTAAGAAAGAAACCAAATCTTCTACAGGCAGTCCTCGACTTATGACAAGTTGTTCACAACTCTTCAAAGGAACAACAGACCTCGACAGGGCTACTTATAACCCAGATTTTAACTTCTGACAATTAGCCCACTCCACGGTCACATAATCACATTTTGGACACTCAGCAAGTGGCCCACATTTACGACCATTTGCATTATCCTGCAATCATGTGATCACAAGTCATTTTTTCTTGCCAGAAATTAGCGTTTATTTCTGGTTTCCTTTGCGGACAACGGATTCACTTAATGACTTCAGTGTTCATTTAATGATCGCTGTGTTTGCTTAACACCCACCACTAAAAAGGTTGTAAAATCAGGCACAATCACATGGTGACTTGCTTAACAATAGGTGCAACTTATGACCGTAATCCATGATCATAAGAAGTCAAGAATTATCTGTAGATGGTGCTAGTAAACCAGGTGACTTCCAGGCCTATGGATTCCAACTCCCCAAATTCCCCAGGTACTATGGCTTTTAATTAAAATTCTGGAAGGAAATACATTTATTTGGAGAATGCCTAGGTAGAGGATCTTCAGCTATGCCAATTTTAAGATGTGTGGACTTCAATTCTGTTTGGCTAGGCCAGAGTTCCTCAACCTTTCCAGCTTTGCGGACCAGCGGGGTGGGAGGGGGAATGGTTCCACCCAAGCAGCCAGCCAGCACATGCGCACACGCAGCTCCATTTACGTGAGTGGCGGACGAGCGTGATCACCACTCGCGCAAATGGAGTATGTGCATGTGCTCACTCACCGCTTCTATGGTCCGGTTCCGAATGGCTCATGGCCCAGTAATTGGCTGCCGCCCAAGGATTGGGGACCCCTAGGCTAGGGAATTCTGGGTGTTGAAATCCATACATCTTAAAAGTTGCCAAATTTGAAAAAAACATTGAACTATATGGTAGGTGCTATACCATGGCATAGCTTCTTTCAACGCTCTTAGAAACTGCACTTCGAGAATTCTACTAAAGATCATTTAGAACTCTGTTTTCCAATGAAACCTGAAAAAAATAATTAAACAGTGATGTTTCTGGATGGTCCAAGCTAGACATGTTATAACTAAAATAGCAAGCCTAGTGTACAGGTAATCTTTGACATTTGACTACAATTGAACCCAAAATTTCTGTTGCTAAGTGAGATAGTTAAGTGAATTTTGCCCCATTGTACAATTTTTCTTGCCACAGTTGTTAAGTGAATCACCGCAGTTAATAAGTTAGTAACATGCTTGTTAAGTGAATCTTGGCTTCCCCATTGATTTTGCTAGGCAGAAAGTCGCAAGAGGTGATCACATGATCCTGGGACACAGCAATGGTCATAAACATGAACCAGTTGCTAAGCATCTGAATTTTGATCACGTAATCATGGAAATGCTGCAAAGGTCGTAACTGTGAAAAATAGTCATAATTCACTTTTTTCAGTGGCGCTGTAACTTTCAATGGTCACTAAATGAACTATTGTAAGTCGAGGACTACCTGTACTTGAAAACTGCTTCTGGACTTTGTGCTTGAGGTGGAAAAAAAATGAAACTTTGATTTTGGGTTTTATCGATTAGACCAGCGGTTCTCAGCCTGTGGGTCAGGACCCCATTTGGGGTCGAACAACCATTTTACGGGGGTCACCAAACAACGCAATCCACCATTTTTTTCCCCTTTTCCTTAGCTGTGCTACTCCCTTTTATTCTATTGGCTTTTGAAAGCCAATAGGAATTGTCCAGGCTGTCTCTGCCCTGCTGAGCCCGCCAAAAGTCCCATTCTGCAAACGGTGCTGCAAGTTGTCTGCAGCGAAGAAGAGCTGTCTGGAAGCTTCCACCCCTCCCTGCTGAGCAACTACTAAAAATGTAAGTAAAAGAGGGCCAGGGGTGGGAGGTGGGAGGCTGGTGGGTGCAGGGAAGGTTGCTGGCGTGCATGGGGCCCGGCGGGTGCCTTACTTCCCTTGGGCTGGGCCAGCTGGTGGCCCAGCAGGTGGTCGGCCTGCGCTGTCTCTGCTGCTTGCCAGCTACGCCTCGGCCAGCGCAGGGGACGGCACTACGCATGTGCAGCGCTCCCGGGCAGGGAAAATCCTCGACTTACAACTGGTTGGGTAGTCCTCGACTTATGACCGGTTGGGGGGTCATGGCATTAAAAAGGTTGAGAACCACTGGATTAGACTTATTGCTATAGAAATGGCTAGTTTCTACTATTATGTAAAAGTAAAAAGTTGAGGTTTGATGTTACTATCTGTATTCTACTGCACCAAAGGGAGATGGAAGTCAATGCCTTTTTTTTCTTTTTCTCTTCTTTCCTACACTCTTCCTTTCCTTTTCCCTCCCTTATTTTTCCCATTTGCTTTTGTATTTTTGTGTTTTATACTATAAACTAATAAAAACAAGAAAGCTGAACAACTGCCTCGCTTAGCAGCAGAACTTTGGGGCGCAATTGTGGTGGTAAGTGGAAGACTATTTGTAAGTCGCCAAGATTACCCTCTTGTGGCTGCCACTTACTTGTAAAGGTGTCGGGCTCGAACATGGCAGGGGATTAGGCTCCAACTTTCATAGGCTACTTTAGCATCACGAACAGCTTTGTTCACATCTTCTTTGTTGCCTTGGATTGTGGTGGCCAGTGGTTCCCCTAAAGGAGAGGATGGGGAAAGAGGTTTTTTTTTTCCTCCTGCAAAGTCTACCCTGAAATAACAATAGCACTTAGCATTTATATACCACTTCGCAGTACTTTACAGCCCTCTCTGAGCGGTTTACAGAATCAGCCTATTGCTCCCAACAATCTGGGTCCCCATTTTACCGACCTGGGAAGGATGGAAGGCTGAGCGAGTCAGGACTGAACTCCTGGCAGTGGGCAGAGTCAGCCTACAATACTGCATTCTAACCACTGCGCCACCACGGACTGATTGAAAGGTTCAGAATTTAGCAGCAATCACTGCAATTTTGGGACTTAGAAGCAAGTAAGGCCACATGAAAGGACTACGGCATCTCTTTAGCCCCAGTTTATCAACAATTTCATGGCATTACAAACAACAGAGAACATAGCTTTTCAAGCCTCAGAGAAATTGAGTTTTTGGAGAAGAAGCATATCAAACACTAGACCAGCATTTCTCAAGCTTAGCCAGTTTAAATTAGATGGACTTCAATTCCCCGAATTCCCCAGCCAGCAGAAATGCAGAATATATGAAGCCACCCACAAGTCACCCTCCCTTGTTCATTCACCATCTTTACCTGTGGTAGGATTCTTGAGTGTGCAGGTCTCTTGCCCATCTGGTTTCAGCCACCTGCCACCTATAAAGTGTCCGAATTTACGACCATGAGATTCCAGCCAGGACTGAAGAGAAAGAGGGAAGTGTCAGGTTGTAGGAGAAAGAAGAATTTACCCTATACCTATTTAGATCTGTTTTGGTACATCCCGGCGTCTTCTTCAAATAATAATGGATACTTAGCAACCTTTTCCAGAAAACAGGAGGGAACAGCAAGTTTCAGAGAAGGAACCTATAGCTTCAAGAAGTTGCTGGACTCTTGTTAGGCCTGGTCAACAGTCAGGGCCAAGAGGAGATCCATTATTGTCCCATCTGGAGATCCACTGTTTCCCCTACCCACTCATCCATTCTGATTGAGAGGAAAAGACCAGAATATTCAGTTTTTGGCATTCAGGTAGTCCTCTACTTACAGCTGTTTATTAGCGACTGTTCAAAGTTACAATGACACTGAAAAAAGGGACTTGCAACTAGTCTTCACGCTTACGAGCATTCCCCAAGGTCACGTGATCAAAATTCAGCTGCTTTGGTGCCCAGCACATATTTAGAATGGTTGCAGCATCCCAAAGTCATGTGATCACCATTTGTGACCTCCCCAGTTGGTTTCTGACACGCAGTCAATGGGGGAGGATGAATTTGCTTAATGATGGCATGTTTCACTTAACAAATATTGCAAAAAAGTTGTAAAATGGAGAGGGGCTCACTTATCAGCTGCCTGGTGTTGTAACTTTTAATGATTACTAAATGAACAGTTATAAATCGAGAACTACCTGTACTGTTCCATTCATTTTCAAATCTATGGAAAGATATTCATTGATTGATCAATCTGTGAAGCCTAAAGGTTGAGAAACACAGACTGTAGAAGGCTAGCTTAAAACTGTCAAGGATTTTAAAGCTAAAATAATTTTTAGAGAGAAGTTAACCCTATTGTAAGGGTTACTATTGAAGGGTGAGAGAGTGTGAGATTGTACCACAGAAGCATTAATTTGGCTTGAATGCCAGAATACAGAATCCAAAACACACTCTCTCAGTCCAACCCGCCTCACAGGGTTGTAATTGGAAAAACAGGAGAAAGAAAATTATATATATTCTTGAGTTTATAAAAATAATAAAGTAGGGATAAATAAGTAGGGTTTCTACAGACAGAAACACGGCTGCGCCATGGGTTCACCTGTGTCTCCCACTGTGGCCAATCTCTACATGGAAGAGATAGAAACCAAAGCCCTAAACTCCTTCACAGGAATCCCACCCACTCACAGGTATAGGTATGTGGATGATACTTGGGTCAAGATCAAAACACAGGAATTGGAAGTGTTCACCAAACACATCAACTCTGTGGACAAATACATGAAATCCACACGAGAAGATGTTAAGGAAAATAGTCTGTCTTTCCTGGACTGTGCAGTACACATTAAGGAAGACAGAAGCCTTAACATTGAAGTTTCAGAAACTCCCCCCACAGACATAAACATGGATCAATATTTACATAGTGATTCTCACCACCCACTGGAGCACAAAATGGGAGCTGAAGGACTGCCTACCAGCAAAGATGGGAAAGAAAAAGAACGAAAACCTATCAAGGAAACCCTCAGAATGTGTGGCTATCTCAAGTGGGCATTCATCAAATCCAACAAAAGAGCCAGCAGGAGCTCCTCCATAACAGACAAAGAAAACATTAAATGAAGCAACATTGTCATTCCATACATTGCAGAAATATCAGAAAAGCTCAGGAGGATCTTCAGCCAACACAACATACATGCACACTTCAAACCCAAGAATACACTAAGGCAGAAGCTTGTCCACCGATAAAATACCAGGTCCAAGACACAAACTGAGCAACGTGGTATATGCAGTACAATGCAGTGAGCCATGTGCAGATCTGTACATTGGGGAAACAAAACAACCACTTCATAAACGCACGGAAAAATGTGGGAGAACAAACCCATCAGGACAAGATTCAGCAGTCCATCTGCATTTAAAAGACACTCTTTCGAAGACAGCAAAGTCTTGGACAGAGAGGACCATTTGTTTGAAAGAGGGGTCAAAGAGGCCATCTATGTCAAAATTGAACAGCCCTCTCTCAACTGAGGAGAGGGATACGCCATCATCTATCTCCAGCCTACAACACAGTCCTTTCAGCAGTTCCAAGAAGGCTCCACACCCATTGGCACTACTCAGGGGACCCTGAGGGCACAGAGAAACCTCCAAATGGCCTCAACAATTCTCCAAACGAATGCAAATGACCAGCTGTCTGCAAGGAGTATAAATCCTTCCATTTCCCCACCATCCAGTCAGAGCTGAAGAAGCTTCTTGGATGAGAAGCGAAACGTCTTCAAAGAAAAAACAAGTAAGTCCAGTTGCCTCATGAAAAAGCATCTTTGGGATAACTATGACTTGGATGACTAAGAATCTCCATAGACATTTAGGAATAAATAAATAGTCTCTTCCCCCCTTTCCCCAAACAACCTCCACAGGAAAAGATTTAAGCTAATGAGATACAAAAGGCTGCTCTAAAGCATGGGCAACCTTTAACAGCAGAGGTTCCTGAACCCGGGTCTCTTCACAAGATCCTTCTTCAGAATCTTTGCAGACATCTCTATTTCGATTCTCTTCCTTTACATGCCCAGGCCCATTCATCTCCTTGTCTTCTTCCCCTGCTTCCTTCTCCTTCTGGCTCTTGGTCCACATTTGCCGAATCCAAGCCATCTCAGCTCTCCAAAGTTGCCGGTCCTTCTCACGTTGGGCTTTCTCTTCTTCCCACAGCCCTTGAAATAGCTTTTCTCTCTCTCTGAAATGTGTCCGGATATCCCGCACCAACTCATCAAATTTTTCATCCCAGGGTCTCTTCCGCCTGTTCCGGAGCTGAGCCAACTTCTCTCGCGGGCTCAGCAGACTCCGTGGCCTGGAAAAAGCTGGAGGCAGGGAGGAATGAGATGATATTATTGGAGTGGCAGAGATGAAGACCAAAGCTATGTCACTGGAGCTCTCCAGACATGAGACCAGCCTCCGACATACATACACCAATAAAACAGCATGTTCTTTCATCATTCAAATAGACAAAGGGAGATTGAAAGAATCAAGAGGGAAGGCAGTAACATCCATAAGGAACTCTGATGTAGAAACATCAAAAGAGAAAAAAATATCCCTAAAACCCATATAATTCAGTGAATATTAAATGTCTGGGGCAAAAAAACAACACAGTAGGGAGTATCATTGGAAAAAAGCAATAGGAAAAGGACACTGAATTTAAGTACAGGTAGTCCTCAACTTATGACCACAATTGAGCCCAAAATTTATCTTGCTAAGTGAGAATTTTTTTAAGCAAGTTTTGTCCCATTTTATGACTTTTCTTGTCATGTTTGTTAAGTGAATCACTGCAGTTGTTCAATTAGTAACACGGATGTTACGTGAATCTGGCTTCCCCATTGACTTTGCTTGTTAGAAGGTTGCAAAAGGTGATCACATGACCCCGGGACATTGCAACCATCTTAAGTGTGAGCCAGTTGCCACGCGCTTGAATTTTGATCACGTGATCACATGGAGATGCTGTATCAGTCATAAGTACGAAAAATGGTCATAAGTCACTTTTTCAGTGCCGCTGTAACTTCGAAAGGTCACTAAGTGAATTGTTAAGTCAAGGACTACCTGTATCAGTTCCTATTATCCTTTCCTCTTGGTCCTAACATATCACCATAAAATATTAAACATGGAATATTAAAATTCAATGGACAACAAACATAAGAACGGTTGCTGGAATTGCATATGTCTAATCCAGTGATGGTGAACTTTTTAGAGACCGAGTGCCCAAACTGCAACCCAAAACACACTTATGCATCATTGGGTACCGGGTGGGTGTGACCTATTGGCTGGATGTAGCCAATAGGGTGGGTGTGGCCCATTGGGTAGGCATGGTTGCGGTGGTAATGGCAGACTGGGTGGAACTAAAAAGTTCAATCAATCAATTCCAACTTTGCAAGATCTTTTTTTTCCCCCACAAGAAGTTGAAATTGACTGATTGAACCTTTTTTTTTTTTTTTTTTGCACAAGGCGGCAGAGGTCTAAAGCGAAAAAGTTTTATAAAACCCAGCTGAAGGCCTAGGACTGGGGCGATAGCGCACGTGCCCACAGAGAGGGCTCTGAGTGCTGCCTCTGGCACCCATGCCATAGGTTTGCCACCACTGGTCTAGTTTAATGAAGAGAAGGACAAGGGGGGACATGATAGGAGTTTTCCAATATCTCAGGGGCTGCCACAAAGAAGAGGGAGTCAAGCTATTCTCCAAAGAGCCTGAAGGCAGGACAAGAAGCAACGGATGGAAACTGATCAAGGAGAGAAGCAACCCAGCAGTAAGAAGTTTCCTGACAGAATAATTAATCAGTGGAACAACTTGGCTCTAGAAGTTGCTCCAACACTGGAAGTTTTGAAGAAGAGACTGGACAACCATTTATCTGAAATGGTGTAGGCTTTCCTGTCTGAACAGGGGGCTGGACTAGATGACCTCTCTTAAGGGGAATAAACCACCTAACTATTTGGGCATTCAGTCAACTACAAATCAGACCCAAGAGAAGACATTGTTAGCATTCTAGCCCAAACACGACAAAAGTAATGGCGAAACAGTTCAGTCAGGCTTTTAAATAGCAATTCGCTTGTTTATCTCTGACACTGAGTATCTGAAACTTTTAACTGGAAACCCAGCAAACCAGCACTTGTTGGAAATTAGAGATACGCATCTGAGAAGATCAGGAAATTGAGGTAGAAGGTTCCAATTCTAAGCTCACATCCAGGGGGAATCAGTTCCATTGAACTCAAGGGGACTTTATTTCTAAGTAAGGAGATCAGAGATGAAGGAGTTGATGATCCTGAAATCCATTCATTCTCTGATGTCTGGATAAACCCGATTTCCCTCTCCCCTGTACCCTGGATTGTACTGCTCCCTTTTCGACTCACCTCTCCGCTTTACCCCGGTTCTCCAGGGGGCGTCCAGATGTCCCGGGGTCTTCTGCTGAAGCAGAGGCTCCTCCACCATCCTGGATCTGTCAGGGATCTCCCCCGGAGACTTTTCTTGAGTAGGATGGAGATAAGCCCCATCTGCTGCCTTGCCTTCCCAGCGGAGGTCGGCCTCTTCCCGCGAGGGGCTCTTCTCCTCCTTGATCACGCCACCGGCCAACTGATGGTGGAGGATCGAGGGCTCCGCATTGATCACGCCCCCGACAGCCGTTTGAGAAGAGGACGACGAGCAGGCGGGGGCGCCGGCAGTCTCGCCGGGCGGCTCCAGATCGCTGCCGTCGGTGATGGAGGCCTGGGTCCAGGCGTACTCGTCCTCCGGGTGCTGCAGATCCGGATCGAACTCCGGATCGCTTTCCTCCTTGACGACCACCTGGCACCACGGAGCGCCGTCCCCGCCACGGGCACTGCCCCCGCCGCCGCCGCCGCCGCCGCCGCCGCCCAGGATGGCGTCGAGTTCGTGAAAGAAGCGGCAGCGCTGGCGGGCGACGCCGTCTTGCAGCTTGGCTTGCTTGTAACTTTTCTTGAGGTCTTTGCCTTTCGTCCGGCATTGATCCTCGTCACGGAAATAGCCCTTCTCGGCCATGCGCTCCGAGATCCACTGGTAGACGTCGGCATTCCGGTGGCACCGGTTGAGCTGCGCCTGGATGGATTCCTCGCCCCACAAGGCGAGGAAATCCAGGGTCTCCCGGTGACTCCAAGTGGCTGCCCGAGTTCGAGGCACTTTAGGGCGATCCGTCGACCTCGGGCCCAGGAAGGAAGAGGGGGAAGGCGAGGACATCCCGGGACAGGAAAGGAAGTGGGGTGGGTGGCAGGGAGCAGAAGGATCAAATCAAAGGAAGGGGGGGAAGGATCTGCCACCTCGATTTAATTAAAAATCCAATCCCGGTGCACGCCGGGATATACCCCCCCTCCCTAACCCAGAAGACCGAGCGAGGCGGAGTAAGATGGGCGGGTACCTCCGCGGTAGCACGTAACCCGAGGTGGGACTTACTACGCAACTATTGGCCAACGAGCCCGTGGTATGCATATGAACCTGATTTAAATCGGGATTCTGGAGCCGTCTGCGCCGGCGCGATAGGGGGGTTTGCTTTGTACCCCCACCCGCAAAAACTGTTACCTCCCTGGGAACTCGGGAGTCAAAGCAGTTCTCATGTGCTGGGCTGCTTTTTCCTTCTACTCCTGATTTTTGCACCGCGTCTCTCCCCAGTTTAATCTAAATCCGGTTCTGTTTTAAAGAGAGATCACGCAGGAGGCGTTTACCCCGGACTGAATCGCAGTAGTTATTCCGGATTTCTCTACCGAAAGGGACCGCCAGCAAAATAAAGTCCCTAATATTAGCGATTGGAAATTCGGAGGCGATCGAATTCGTCCGAAACTTCAGAGGTGGCGAAGCGGGACTGACATTGGTCTAACGACTCCGCCGGGAAAAATTTCTTTCACACACTCCCCCATTTCCCGTCCCCCCCCCCCGCCGCTCGATTGCTCCGGAGAGCCTCACATTCACATAGTTTGTTTGCAAGAAATGCTCGTCCTGCTTTGTTGAAGTTTGGTTTGTTCAGGTACCGAAGCTTTCGGACGACGCTGATTTACAGATTTAAGGTTAAATCCAGTGATTATAGTCCCAATTGTGGGCTGGGATTATATTCACATACCATCTTAAACCACAAACCTAAGTTTAAGGCTAAAGCTAATGCTGGAGCGCGGTTTCAACCCGGTCAGGCGGAAGTTTCCAAAAACACAGCCGCGTTACTCTGATGTAGCAACAGCAAAATACTGAACACAATACGGAAGTTACTACGGGTCCTAACACTTGGGCTAAAACTCTTTGTTGTTGTGATTTTCTCCACAAAGACACATTTCCTCGATGCAACTTTCCTTGACTAAGGAAGAGGCTACGTTTGTCGATTAAAACTAGGTGAAGGGAACCGAAGCAGAAATGCTGCCGGTCGTATAAGAGGCGCAAAACCCGCCCGAGTCCACCAATAGCGCTTCATCTTTTGAAGCGCCTAAAAAAACATGCTACGTCGAATACACGCGGGAGTGACACGTCCTGAACCTGGGTTATCAGTAAAGTCCTCCGTACCCGAGCAGGATCTCAGCCAGCGAAGAGGGAGTGAAGGTCAGGGACAAAGGCGAGTGGGAGGCGGGTGGGGGGAGAGGACAAAGAAAAGCTAAAATGTGGGGTCAAAAAAAAATGCCTTTTGGGGACTGTATTTTGGGGGGAGAAATCAGGATAGAGCAACGTCTCTCCGGGCTCGCTTTGAAACCCTTCCTTTGCAAAACTTGGCTACCAGCCGCTGCAAACAATAATGGCTTAATGACGTTTTTCTGAGTAAGTTCTTCCCCCGCGCTGAGCGCGAATAGCACTGTGGTTTAGCGCGACGCGGGAATCCAAACTAGTTTCCTTCGGAGCCTACAGATCACGTTCCTCTTACGCTCACTGGATCCTGCGCACTCCGCCGGCGGGGGGGGGGTGCTCAGACGTGAGAAGGAATCCCTTCCAGTCCCTTACCTGGGCTGCCCCAAGCGCCTCCGGGACCGGCCCATACTCCATGGAGCTGTAGAGATCGTACACTGAAGGGGTCCCGCAGCTGCTTTCCGTCGCCGAGGAGCCGGCCATTGACTCCTGTTTTGATTGCTCGGGCTTGACAGCAAAAAGCAGCAACCTTCCAACTGAGCAGCATCCCCGCCGCTTTAAGAAAGAGGCATTTCCGGCCTCCCAACTACCATAGAGTTCAGTTACTTGCAAAGAAGAGTCGAGACGTAAGGCGGAACATACCGACTATAGAGATAGAAAAGAATACTACAATTACTGAGGACCGTAGCATAGTGAAACAGCGCATATATTCCTCCCCCGCCCTAAATTGATGCTAGATGGCTTGGTTATTTTTCAAAATGATGTGCTACGAATAAAAGCAAACATACGCCGTCGAAACTTGAAGGCCCAGTTTAGGGACAGATCATCATGAAGAAAATCCATCTATGTGGTCACTAACCGTCGACAGCGTCTTAATGGCACATAACCGATCAACCAAAAAACTTGAAGCAGAGAAAACAGTATTTTACAAATCTGCAACAGTATGTACAAGCCAAGTATATTCTGCATCTTGAAACATCCATCCTTTTAGTTAATCCTTTATACCAGTATTTTTCAACATTGGCAACTTGAAGATATGTACAACTCCCAGAATTTCCCAGCCAACAGAGTGGAAGGGTGCTGGGGAATTCTATTAGTTGAAGGCTAGACTTCTTAAAGTTAGACTTCTTAAATTTGCCAAGGTTGAAAAGTACTGCTTTATATCATAATTAAGCCAATTCGTTTCCCAAGCGGCGCTTTAAAATGCTATCCTGGTTAGTTAATATGGAGGCAGGGCTATCAGATATTGAGATAAAATCCAGCCCCAAAGCAATGCCAGATGAATATAGACGTTGAAATATTAATCTCTTTCATATCAAGGAGTTTTGTCTTGACGTTGCTTGTACGACTCCTCTAAATTTCTACGTCTAGGCTCATCTTGAAGTCTATAAAAACAACTCTCTGCTGCGCGCAACATAACGAACGGGGAGTGTCTCCAAGTTGAGAGGTGCGTGCTTCCGTTCCGGCTCTCGGTGAACAGGGTGAAATTCGTTGCTTAGAGCCCGGTACCAAGGTGTGAGTGCGCGTGTTATAATTTAATAAAACCTCGAAAGCAGAGGAAATTTCTCTCCACAGTACATTTTTTACTGTACAGCGTGTGAGTAAAAAGTGGAGGCCCGGCGCATTTTTTAAAATGTTATTTTTGCTGTTCTCGAATGGGATTCTTTTTCCTTATCCCATTTCTATAAAGAATACAGCAAAGATTAGAGAGTGGAGCCATGCCTTCTTCATTAGATGTGGGTTGGAAAGCAATATTGTATTTAAGAGTTAACAATTTCAAAGTGATAAAATTACGGTTGTGTATGTGTCAACTGTACAAGTAGCTCTTGATTAGTGTGAGTTCCAATAGTGCAAAATTTGACCTAATAGTAATGTGATTTATATGTTGATACCAGGTCACACTTTTTATAAAAGTCTGGAAAAAAAAGTCATGGACTTTTTGGGGAAAATGGACAAAAATGAACTGGTAATATATAATTTGGAAAGGCAAAAATGGTGATAATTATGTTTGTAACCACTGTAAAGAAAATCAGAAATCACTTGTTTAGATATTTTTTTCTTCCCTAGTCTAGACTTTTACTCTTTGTCACTTTTTCTTTGATCTTCTAAAATCTTTTTCTTTTTTCTAATTTCTTATGTAATTTTTAATCCATATTTTTCCTCAATAAAGACTATATTTAAATAATTGATACCAGGTCCTGTTTGCTGTCTGCCAATATATTAACATTAACACAATATATGAATATGTTGGGAGTACTGTGAATATAGTAGTAAAAATGTCCTAGAAAACCACTTGGGTGGGAGCTTATGAATGTAATTTTTTTGAACATTTTTCATTTTGCCTTTATACCTAATACTCCTCCTTCCCTTTATTTTTTCTATAACAACAATACTGTGAGGTGGGTTGGATTGAGAGAGTGATTGGCTCAAAGTCACACAGACAGTTTTCATGCCTAAGGAAGATCTAGAACTCAATCTCCTTTAGGCCAACACTAAGCACTCTAGACCAGGGGTAGGCAACCTTGGCTCTTTTATGACTCATGGACTTCAACTCCCAGAATTCCTGAGCCAGTTTGGCTCAGCATGGAAATCTCTCCATTTCTCCTCAGCATGGCTGGCTCAGGAATTCTGGGAGTTGAAGTCCATGAGTCATAAAAGAGCCAAGGTTGTCTATCCCTGGGCTAGACCAAAGAGGCTATATTTTCATATCTGTTTTAACATTATTTGGAGATAAATGAGAATCTTAAGATTTCCTGTTTTCCAGAGAAATATCATTCAAATAGTGCACATTTGAACAATTCAGCCATTTTGTGGGATGAATTAAGTGCACTAATTGAGACTTGCCTGTACTCGTTTCCATAGGATGTCAGTTACCTTAAGTTCAGTGAGGTTGAGCTAACAACTAATATGGATTGTATGATTTTACTGCTTTAGTCTCAGTAAAAGGTGGGTTGGTAAAAGCCAAACTAAGAATGGAGTTTGTAGCAAAAGAGGTAGCAGCAGCAAAAGGAAGAAATTTCAAATAGGAGTAATCTATTAGAGTATAGCCAGATTATAATAAGAGTTTTTCTTCTATTTATTTAGGTTGCTAGGGAATTATTGGCTAATTGTTTATTCTAGTCTACACTGCATTATAAGACTGAAGAAAGAAAACTGATTTTTCTTATTTTCTTGAAGGGAAGGGAGAGGTTAATGCCATATATAATGGACTTAAAAAAAACAAGGCCAATGGAATCAGAACAATTGTGGTGGTACAGTAGTTAGAATGCAGTATTGTAGGTTAATTCTGCCCACTGTCAGGAGTTTGATCCTGACTGGCTCAAGGTTGATTCATGAGGACTCAGATTGTTGGGGGCAATATGCTGACTGTAGACTGCTTAGAGACAGCTGTTAAGCACTATGAAATGGTATATAATGCTATTGCCATTGCTATCAGTTGAGGCCTGGTTTGGGTGGTACAAGGAGTCTACCAGTTTAATATGTCTGGATCTTCTATGGCTTTCTTATATGGACTGCAATTGCAGTTATAATATTATTTTGATAACTTTTCTATGAGGTGGCTGCATTGGTCTTCAGTAGCAGAAGTAAAAAAAGGGACTTGTGCTATCTTAAAAACAAAAATATATCATTTATCCTTTTATTATTCTTTAAAGAGTTCTAAACCTCTTTGTTATCTTCCCTAATGTTTGTCAAAGCTTTC